AGCGGTATGTTGCGGTTTGTTAAACCGGAGCCACGTGAAAAGGGTTATTGGGGCGTTGCGGTAAATGTCAACGTCAAACCCGGTAAAAACCGCGGGGCGTTTTTCAAAACGGTCCCTGAGTGGGGTAATTTGGGCGCACTCTGGGCACGTCAACTCTCGATTTCTGAACGATTTATAAACGGTTTAAGCTAAGTCCTCATAATTGCGAATAGGGTAGTGGACAATTTTTTGAAATATTTTTTTTATTAATCTCCATAACAAAATAAATAGTAGTTGATGATTCTTTGATTTTAGAAAACAAAAATATACCTAAAAAAAATAAACAAATTTATACTTATTTTAAACGCTATAATTTACCGCCCAGAATTACGTCACAGCTGTTATGTCCAAGGCATTCCGACATTAATAAGAGTGGGCGAGAGCGCGGTCAGTGCGTCCTTATATTTTACATGCTTCTAGAAAAAGATGCAGATAAGCTTATTGCGCATTGATTGACAAATGAAAATCTCTCAAAAAGTGGAGTTAAGTTGAGGGTGCGCCCCGACAGACGCTGATATATCTCTCTTTTTTGCACTAATGAGTAAGTGTGTGTCGAATATAGGACGAAGGATTAATTCATTTCATACTCAAATACAACAGCTATGACGTAGAATCAAGGCGCAAAATATTTTCGTTTAAATATTGCGTACCAAAACTCTACTTTTACAATCGTTTTGAATCAAGTTAGCAATTTTTTCTGAAATTTCTTTCAACAGGAATATTTCTCATTTACTCCATAGATGAACAATAGATCATCGATTTCATTGAAATTATACCTTGTCCACTACCCTATTGCGAACTTTTTTTCTGCGGAATTGTTCCTATTGGTTCAAATTATTTGAAATTATAATGGCGGGAAAATCTCGCGAATGTTTTCAACTTCTTGCGGCATCGCAAAAAAGTTAAAATAATTCAAATTTTCGACGAATAATCTAGGAAGTTAGGTTATGCAAGCTTATTCGCCAAAAAGCTAAAATTATTTCAACTTTTTTGCGATGCCGCAAGAAGTTGAAGACATTCGCGAGATTTTCTCCCATTATAATTTCAAATAATTTGGACCAACAGGAAAAATTCCGCAGAAAAAAAGTTCGCAATTCGCGATTATGAGGACTTAGCTTTAGAGTTAGCTAGGGTCACTCCCACACCCAGAGTGCTATTTCTAAACGCAACCCTTGTCGCCAGTGTATGTGAAGCTTTGTGAAGGCTTATTTATTCAGTAGTTGTACTGTCATAATAGCACAGGTATACCGAACCTTGGGGTTAACAAATGTGTGGTGATCACGGCCATTTGCAACACTATAACTTAAGGGATATTTAATCCAAGTGGAGTTTTGAATGTGACTCTCGTAGAAACAAAAAAAGTCACATTCAAAAGCTCCACTCAAATTAAATATCCCTTAATATCCCTTAAGTGATAGCGGTGCAAATGGCCATCAATGAACTATAACCAAAAACTGGAATGCGAACACATATTGACGAACGTGAAGCCTAGTGCCGCTGCTGCGGAGGGGATACCTGTTCTTGTCGCACTCATTATGTTGAATGGCGGAAATTGCTTCCAACACGTATTCCATTTGATGAAACCTGTGAAGGCAAATATGACAAAACTGTCCAAAACGTCATATGTCAGCGAGCAACAGAAAAAAACAACATTCCCCTTTGTGGCATCTGTCTTTCATGGCTACATTTTTTTGGCAGATATAGCAATATGTGCGCATTCCAGTTTTTGGCTATAGTTCATTGGTCGTGATAAAAGGGGCGTTTACCAGGGGCGAGTTCAGGAATGACAAACTCAGTGTGAGTGTGACACCGGTGCGACGCACTAGCCGTTCATAAATGCTATAGGCACACCGAGTGCGCGCATTCTGTTCCGTTCAGAAAGTACTTCGGGCGCGCTCCAGGTGTCGCACCGGTCATACCATAATTTTTTGGTGTGACTCCGGTGTGGTGGTGTCTTTATGTCAACAATGTCAACCATTCCTACCATAATCTCATTAATCCCACCCAATGAACTATAACCAAAAACTGGAATGCTAACACATAAGGACGAACGTGAAGCCTAGTGCAGCTGCTGCGGAGGGGATACCTGTTTTTGTCGCACTCATTATGTTAAATGGCGAAAATTGCTTCCCACACGTATTCCAATCGATGAAACCTGTGAAGGGAAATATGTCAAAACTTTCGAAAACGTCATATGACAGCGAGCAACAGAAAAAAACAACACTCCCCCTTGTGGCATCTGTCTTTCATGGCTTCATTTTTTTGGCAGATATGGCACTGTGTGCGCATTCCAGTTTTTAGCTATAATTCATTGATCCCACCAAATATAAACAAAACACAAATAAGAATTGAAGTTTTTTCTCCGAATTAAAAAAATGAACAACAAAAAAAACTTATCCTATACATTTGGTGAAGTTTTTGAGGAGATGCTCGATTGGTCACACCAAGAGTGCGTTCGAAAAAGGGTTAAATTTTACCCAAGGGTGAGAGTGGGTATATGGTCACGTGGTCAGAAGAGTAAATTTTTTCTGGTGTGTTTGCGGACGCACTGATGTATAATTATAACTTAACATATAAAAACATAAATAACATTTAGGCCCAGTGTTCTGTGCATTTCATTTATCTGTCCGCACCTATTTTATCAACTTCCGAGAAACGGAAAATAAAATAAATATATCTCATAATCTCATTAAATCTGTAGTCTAAGTAGTAGATTTAAATGAAAAAACTGACAGAATGACAGGAGTAAAATTTACCTCGCGGCAGAGTTGGTTAAGAAAGAGTGCACACTGGGTAGCACCCTGGATATTTTCGAACTAGCGTGAAAGTCAACTGGAATTTATACCAATTCATTTGACGTACTCCAAGCGTTCAGAAATTCATAGGAAAGTTGTCGCCTAAAGCCTAGTACTCATAACTGCGAAATTCGCATTTTTTGGACATTGCGTTGACAATTTGACGTTTTATGCGTGTATCAAACGTCAAACTGTCGAAGCAATGTCAAAAAAATGCGAATTTCGCAGTTATGTACTAGGCTTAAGAATTGTCATTTCAGTCGCACCCATAAAATCGCACTCACAGTCACACCGGTGTGTTATTTCTGAACTCTCCCCAGGACCGTATTCTGTGTTCTGTCGCTTTCTACGTGTCGAATTATAGTGTCGATTTCTACCAATGAAATTTCTACATGTAGAAGCAAGTCGTCACGGAAATCTTGTTCCGTGCACCCCTTGATACCGGTCCGTCCGAAGTAGGTTTTTGTTAACATGTCGAAAGCAAGGATCTATTGACAGCTTCCAAGTATACTATACATACTTTAGTTGTATTCCTTTCAAGAGCTTGAAACACTTGCGCTACTCGCTTCGGTGCTTGGTCGCCCCCGATTTGCAGCGAACATATGCGTGGTGCAACAAACACTTTTCGAAAGGAATAAGCGCGTGAAGCCCCGGAGCTGTTCCGGAGCTCCTCCTAGGTGTGAAAGGAATACAACTATAGTTATTTATGTCATTAGGCCAAGAAGTAGCTCCTTCTTGGCCTAATGACATAAATAACGATTTTCTACTGCCTTTGACGACACCTTGATGGGTCACTCCTATCGACATTCGATGTGGTCCAGAAATACTTAGTTTGACACGATGGTAAAAGAGAATTAATTTTCCTACGAGCGTGCAGAAAAAGCTCTTTTTCCGCATGCATTGGCCTGCGAAAAGAGTAATTTTTCCGCACTAGTGTGGAAAAATTACTCTTTTCGCACGTCGTCGTATCGTGAACGAAGGCATACCTACGATATGCAAACAATGGTGAATGGTGAAGGTATGTACAATTTTCAGCTGATTGTAAATTTAACAAAATAACAAATGTTGCGGATTCTATCTTAGAAGGAGGTAAGGCTAAAGGCACAATGACAAATACAAGGTACAAGTGACAAACAGGAAAAAATATAATAAACCGTGTATCAATGCTATAACGCAGAATAAATGGATACAGGATACAATTTTCTAGCCATGCCACAATACAAAATTTCGATTCTCTAGTATTTGGCATCTGTCTCTCATACCTTGTATTTGTCATTGTGTCTTCAGCCTAACCACTAATAGTAAAAACTTTGGGGAGGACCCTGATGGTCAGTCAATACCATCATCATGTGCTTAATCGTCAATTTGCATCAGCGATAAATTTTCAATCTGCTGAAAATTGTACAATCACCATTAAAATTGTCAATAATAAATAAAAAAATGTTGATTGCTCAATATAGATTCATATTGAATCTGTTTTAATTTTTGCGTTTTTTATTGTCTGCTCGTAGGAAAAATTGTGTTTCTAACACTTGCGGAAAGTAATTTTTCCACACTCAATTGCTAACGACAATCACGTGCGAAAAAATGATACTTTCCGCACTTGTTAGGAAAATAACTATTGTTACCAAATTAAGTCTTCAGATTAATCATAGTTTAATAAAAACAAATGTAGTAAATAGATTGGTATGGCTTAAAACATAATGTTTTATATCATCGTATTGCGTGTTTCACCCAAAAAACGTTTTTGGCGTTGACTAGATCAGTCTTGGTTATTATATTTTATAATCATTTTAAGCTTCGACCCAAGGTCTCTTCTCACAGAAATCACAAACCAGTCAGAGCGGATTTCATTAATTGAAAATAGTCAGAAAACTGGTTGTTGGCGATTTGCTCCAATCAAAAACGCTCTGAGTAGTTTGTGATTCCTGTGAAAACAAACCTCCAGACGGCGCCACACAAACTTTTTGTTAACATGGAGAGAGCAAGAGAGTGTATCATCATAGGAAGAAGCTTTTTCTATTAGGAAGTCAATGGGACATAATATATGACCGAGTATATGACGTTCAGGAATGACCCTTGTTTTTTAAATACCTGCATTGTAGCTTACAAGAGAGCTTTCCGACGTTTTTTTATTTTGCAAACTTACCGTCACCAATCACTTACTTTTCTCTTAAATTTCCAAATTCTATTAGCTCGTCAGCAAATTTTTTAATATCAAGTCCCATGGCAGTTGCTAAAAAACCCATTATTTAAGACATATTTAGGAGAAAATGATCTAATTCTTACCACAAAAAGTAGTGAAGACGAATTTGTGCATGTGTTCATATGATACTAAAGCGCCATTTAATCCTTTAAGTTCTTCTGCCAATTCGCAACTGTAGCCATAAAAAGTGCCCATAAAGCCTTTCAAAATAATCGGCTTGAATCCTTTTAGGAAATGTTTTCTACGTGCTTTCCATTCTTCCTCTAAAATGATAAGAATTAGTTTTTATTGGGAAATTGCATACAAAACGGAACCCAGCAACCTAGATAGTTAGACACTCAATTGGAACTTGGAATCGGTCGAACGCATAAAAACGTTCCACTGGAACTGGACAGTGGACTGGACACGTAGCCAGAATGGCAGACGGTCGATGGACAAAGTTCATTCTAGAGTGGACACCGCGACAAAGAGTCTTCCGAAACAGAGGTCGCCCGCCAACAAGTTCAAATTCAAATTCAAATTCTCTTTATTTCAAATAATATGGAGTATAAACAGTTTTGAGTACAGACCATAAATTAAGTGAAACAGTGTCAAAGGGAAAAGGTTTTAAGTTAAAATGTTGCACTAAAGTAGTCATTTAGATTGTATGGTTCTAGGTCTATTTTCAATTTTTTCACCGTCCTTTTAAAACTATTTAGACTATCTGCTGTTTTAAAATTATTGGGTAATTTGTTAAATATTCTTATGCACATGTATGATGGTTTTTTTTTTCTGTTACTGTCAGCCTATGGATTGGAAACACAAATCTAGTGTCCGAGTGTTATATGTAGTATTACAATTATTTGTGATGTGGGTCTATGTTCATATTTCGAAAACAGACATTTCGAATCTTTTATTTCGAATGCTTTTATTTCGAAAACTTTTATTTCGAATTACCTTTTCTTCGAAATTCAATCATTTCGAAAACATTTATTTTGAAAACTCTTATTTCGAATTACTTTCTTTCCGAAATTCAATCATTTCGAGAAGATTTATTTCGAAAACTTTTATTAAAATTGCAAATTAACAACTAACCCAAACAAAATTATTGTTTTCAAAATTATTGAATTTCGAAAGGAAAGTCATTCGAAATGAATGTTTTCGCAATAAATGTTTTCGAAATATATGTTTTCGAAATGATTGAATTTCGAAAAAATAGTAATTCGAAATAAAAGTTTTCGAAATAAATGTTTTCGAGATGATTGAATTTCGAGAAAAAAGTATTTCGAAATAAAAGTTTTCGAATTGAATGTTTTCGAAATGATTGAATTTCGAAGGAAAAGTAATTCGAAATAAAAGTTTTCGAAATAAATGTTTTCGAAATGATTGATTTTCGAAATAAAAGCACTCGAAATAAAAGATTCGAAATGTCTGTTTTCGAAATATGAACATAGACCCAATGAAATGAATTGTGACTTATTTTTATAAGGATTCATTAAACATTCATACAAATAGACAGCATATACAGTGAGAATATTTTTTTCCTTAAACTTATTTCTACAAGATTCCCTAAAATCTAATTTATTAATTAACCTAAATGCTCTTTTTTGACATAGGTAGAAATATTTTTTCCAGATTTTGGTTATTTCCCCAAAAAATTATTCCATATTTGAATACTGACTCAAAATTTGCAAAGAATAATGTCCTTAGAGTCTCGTTATTTAAATATCGTGATGCAGTTCTGATGGCAAAACGTATCTTAAGGTGCGTTTACACATGCATGGATTTAGTGACGCCAATAAACACTGGCGCGCCAGTAAATTTTATTAGCAAGTGTAAACAAGTGCTTGCACGTCGGCGTCCGCTCGCCAGTTTTTCGTTTGATTTTCATTTCGGTTGCTGCGAGTTCTCCTAGAAATTTTGCAAAAGCAGCCAAAGTGGGTCGACGACCGATCCATGGTTCAACCCAGAAACGGCCATTTCGTTGGTTGCGTTTCTTTTTCTGTATTTCTTTTATCTTTTTTTTTTACTAAAAGTTTAGCGACTATTTTACAGGTTTCGGAAAGTTCACTCGACATAGTGCACACTGAGAAAAGCATTTTAAAAGTGAAACTGGCGTGCCACTTATTTCTGTTTTTCACACAAAGTGTAAACCTTTACTGGCGTGCAAATAGAACTGGCGCGACCATTGGCGCCACTAAATCCATGCATGTGTAAACTCACCTTTATTCAATTTTTTTGACAGTATTTCTGTATGTTCGTAGTAGTTCAAAAATTTGTCTATATGTACTCCTAAGAACTTTGTGGAGTTTGCTATTCCAAAACTATCTGAATGGATGGAGGTTCAATGAACTAACTTTTTCTTTTTGTGAGTGTGTTGTATCAAATAATACCAATTTAGTTTTTTTTTTCATTGAGAATTAATTTATTTTCATTGAACCAGGATTTTGTTTTAGAGAATATTGCATTTGCTTTATGTTGTAAATCTTGTGCAGTTGTAGCCCCAGTCAATAGGATGGTGTCATCAGCAAAATTTACCATACTTCCCTCTTCATTTTGCATACCTTTGCATAAGTCATTCAAATAAATAACAAACAGTATTGGACCCAGTACACTACCTTGGGCAACTCCTACATCACTTGGTAAAATTTTTGATTTTTTGGCATCATTTCCGTCTGCAATAATTACACGATAGGTTCTCTTTGAAATATAAGAATATATCCATTTATTTGCATTACCCCTGATTCCATACATCTCAAGTTTCTCTCTTATGTGCTCTATATGGAATCATATGCTTTGGCTAGATCCAAAAATATGCCCAGAGCCATTTTGTTTTCCTCAAGAAGTGACAAAATACCCTGAATTGATAGATCGCGGTTTGTGTTGATCGCCCCTGATGTAGATATCCATGTTGATTGTCTGTAAATAATTTATTCTGATGGAAATATTTTAGTATCCGTGAACATACTATGATTTCAAATACTTTGGAGAAGCTGGATTATCAGCTTATGGGCCTGTAACTTTCTACTTGGTTTGGTTCTCCACTTTTGAATCTAGGCTTGATAAGGGCAATTTTTAAAGGTTCTGGGAATATACCAAACTTCATAGAAATGTTTATTATGTACGATAGTATGACACTTAAAGAATCAAGTGATAATTTCACTATAGCTATAGGAATGTCATCGTCTCCACTGCTGAATTTATTTTTGATATATTTGTTGAGTTCTTTAATTTCTGTAGGTGTGGTAGGGGTTAAGAAAATAGATTTATCAGAATGGTTAATTGAACTGTAACCCATGGGATTATCATTTGAGTTTTTTTTTGGAATTGTGATATGATTGTATTGAAGTAAGTATTGAAATTGTCTGCAACTACTCGAGGACTTTCTTTAAATGGATAATTTTGGTTGTGTTTGGCTTTGCCTGTAATTTCATTGCATATATTCCGCACAGTTTTGTTTTTGTTGTCTGATCTGTTGATTTTATTCTCGAAATAATTTGCTTTCTTCCTTCTCAGACAGGAATAATATTCTTTTTTCGTTTCTTTAGGTACATATTACTATATTCGAGATTTAGATTTTTTAATAGTAATAAAGTGTTTAACCTCGCCGAATTTCATCAATTTCAGGGCAGATTCCTAACCTGAATTTACATTTTTTATTGATCCATGGTTGTTCAGGAAAGCACTCATTAAATATACCTGAAAATATTGACATAAAGCCTCTCCACTGAGCATCTACATCAGATTTTTTTAAAGCCAAAATTGGTTCCCAGTTTTGGTCACTTAATTTATTTACAAAATCTGTTTTTTCCCTCTCCCCAAATTTTCTTCGAAAATACACATGTTGTTTTTCAACTCAGGGCAATGTAAAAATAATTTTTTGGGCAAAATGATCTGACACATGTATGTTAAATACACAACTATTCCAATTTTCTACATTTGTAAAGATGCTATTGATGCCACTTTTGGAGTTGGCAGTGATTCTAGTATATTGGTTTATTGTTACTTCTAAGTTGAATGATTGTACCTACAATATTCAATAATATGTCCTTATTTCTATTTTGTTCAACCATTTCTATATTAAAACCACCTGCCATTAGCAAAAGTCTCTTTTCTGAGCATATGGATCGACGATATTAAAAGGATAGAGCCAAACTGGACGAGTGCAATACAGCAGGATCGAGGACATTGGGCCTATGTCCAGCAGTGAACGCAACCTGGCTGCAGGGACGTAGCGAAGGCCTCTGGTTTTGGGGGGGGGGGGGGGTGACATTCTTAATTTTCCCAACTTTATTGAAACATAAAAAAAATCATATGTAGCATCATACGTGGTACACGTGTTAAGAAGTGGAACTTCTTAATAGTATATTACATTATGAGTGTAGAAAGTGACAAATTTCACACGAGTGTTTTTTCGCGCGAGGCGATAGCCGAGTGCGAAAATTACACAAGTGTATGAAAGACGCTTTCTTACGATTGATGTACACCATTTTTCCTACGACCAGAAACCAATTTTCATCAATTTTCTCTTATTTTATTTCTTTTCATTTTCAACAGACGTGCTGAAAGTATTTTCAATCCACGTATTGAAAGTAAATTGTTATGTCAATCACAAATAATGTCAACAGTATTTTCCACACGTGTGCTGAAAGTACTTTTAGCACGAGTATTGAAAGTACTTTCAGCACGCGAGTGATATTTAGAGCTTTCCAAAGAACCAGCTAGTGCGAATTTTGTAATTTTCGTATGTGGTCGTAGGAAAAAACTATTCCCTCCCTCATGAACTTGTCTCTCATACAACTTTTAGACTTAGCAAATGAGTCGGGGTATAAAAGATAAAAGGCTACACAATAGACAAACGCGCATCTGTAGAGACGTCACAAGGGTTACACGTAACGCTTCTTTCAAATCACTCTCCATTCTCCTCCAAATCAGACCGCCGCATAAGAACTTTCAGTTCAAAAAAATCATGTGTAGCATCGTATACGTATTAAGAAGTGAAACTTTTCAAAAACTATACCCTCTATATACAGCTTTGAGACTTAGCTTATGAGACGGGGTGAAGACGAAGAGCCCGCGTATCTATAGTAACGTTACAAGGGTATCGGCCTCGGTATCGGCGCTTGACAATAATAGGCAATCCTCTCTACTTATAATCCTTCGTTAGTGTGAATTGTTCATCGGCTGTCATTGTCATTGGTTGATGCCTTTCTCCGTCTCTCTACGTTATAGCTTCCTTCTCTCTCATCTCTCCTGTAACGAAATTTGCCAAAACGTGACGTTGCATGATGCGTCTTTCGTCTTTCAAATCACTCTCCTTATTCTCCTCTGAATATCAGACCGCCGCCTAAGAAGTTTCACTTCAAAAACTGATAAAAAGTTTGACATGTACAGTAACAGTCGTGAGCATAAAAAGTGGGACACCCGTTTTTTCCTATTGTAAAACGAGCTCATCAGCTATACCTATGGCAATGACAGAGATTGTCATATTTGACAAAAAAATCCATTGTAGAGAAAATACTGATTTACCTAAAATAGTGAAAAATGACAAGACCTGTCAGTCCGGTGTCCTACTTTTTATGCTCACGACTGTATATATTCCAGACCCAAGATTACTAAAGTTAATAGGTTGCCTGATAATGGGTAACTTGATGACGCATCTAATCTGAGGTACCTTGGAGATTTGCATTATGTTGAGGCACCCCAGATGACGGAAGAAAATTATCAGAGGGCTGGAACTCTGTGACGGATAAGGATCGTTATCCCTATCGCTATGGCACTTGCTGTCTTTTTCTTTCTTGTCAAAATCAATAGAGAGGAGACGTCAATAGAGATAGAGAAAATATCTCTATTCGTTACAGAACTCCAGCCCAGAGGCAACCTTCCTCTCTCAAACAACCTTGTTCCAGACCTACAAATAATATAATCAAATAAAATAAACAATGTATAAAAAACATGTATAAGAAAAACGTTCCAAAAAAACATTTCTTCAACATAAGAGCACAGGATTCAGAGCTTTGCTGAAATCTGAATAGCGAGCGAAGAATGCGCAGAACGCAGAAAGTAATAAGAAGTTTGGATTATCTAATATACTATATTGTCCATCTCTCTAAAACACGACGCGCTTGCAACAACAAGCTATAGATATCAACTACGTCGGTCGTCGGTCTTGACTCTCGAATAGTGAATAGCGCTAGTGGCGCTAGAGCCACTACTGTCACGAATGCCACGTGTGCCACTGCCACAGGCTAGTGGTGCTAGTGCAGTGCAATGTGCAACGCAAGAGATCGCCCCGACCATTGGGATTTCGTCAACCTGTTGTACGGTAATTTTGCAATTCATTACAACACGTGACACGATCATAATGTATGTTAATTTTAATTAGTCCTCGCAAATTTTTGTCTACCAATTTTTCCCAACTTTAAATTTTTTATCCAAGTTTTCCCAACTTTCGATATATTTCAGAAACTTTGGGGGGGCGCGTTGCCCCCCCAACCCCCCCCATGGCTCCGTCCCTGCCTGGCTGATTGATAATGATAATGAAGTTTTTATTAAGGAAGTATTACATTGCACAAATCATGTCATTTAACTCGAATTTTAAATTATGATAAACAAGTTCAAAGTCACAGTAGAAAAGCTTTGATGACATTTTAAATTCAAATTTAAATTATAAAATTAATGTTTTTTTTTTTAATGAGTCTGTACCGTACCAGTATTCGTGTCATTATTACAGATTGTTTTATGAATTTATAATAAATAAAATTTCCGAGTCAATTGGTTTGATGTAATGGCTATCCTAAATTATAATAGTAATATTTATGGTATGACCATTAGTTAGGTTACAGGCAGGCTTAGAAGTGGAAGAGCAGTATTTGATTTAAAAAAAATGTTTTTCCTCAAACAAACGATGAATAATTTTGATCATGTCATGTAAATACAACAATATAATTCTATGATCTGAAAGTTTGGGTAAGGGATAGGAAAGAAAACTAATAAGTCTTTTGGCAACGTTTCGTCTTTGATTATATAAGACTTTATAAAGCCCTACGAAGAACAAACAATGCAAAAATACAATAACCCAAACTAACCCAAGAAACTTTCAGATGGAATTTACAGGGAACAAATCACAATCAATTATTCTTAAATATTCTGTTTATTAACTGTGGATTCATCTCATTAACTAAAAGGTTTTACTTGCTCTTCTATGCTGAATTTTGATCAATGCACCATACACCATATGAATTATGCAAGTAATGTTATGAACAACAGTGATGATTGTATTTGTTTGACAGCAAAAACAGAGATTTTTTACAGAATAAGCAAAGGAAAAGCTCTCATACGACAGCTTAGCCTGTTGACCTAAGAAAACATCGGAGAATAGACTAATATTTATGACGCGATCCTTGAAAGCATTGTTCGTTACTGCTGCCAAAATTGAAAAATTATAGAAATTAGAGCAAAAACTTTTTGTTACTCAAATGTACATTACTATGGTGAAAATCAGCTGGAGTACCTACCTATCAAAAATGGATTAGATCGGAAACGATAAGAAAAATCTCGAAATAATTATTGAGGTTGCAAGAACAATAACAATTAATAACTATAGGCCATGAAAACAACTGGTTGGGTATGGACACGTGATGGAAAGGATGTCAGAGCAGGAAATTCGAAGGAATTAGTTCCAATCAGTGCCTCAAGAACTAAGTGATTATAGATATTACTTAACTCACGTGCAAGAAAAGCAAGGCTATTTTTTCCATAAAAGTTTTGTAGATCATTATATAATCTGGATTTGTTTAAACATTTCGGATGGCTTAGAATAATCTTAAGTTCATCAGCATTTAATGTTACATAATGATATTCATGGCCGATCCAGGTATTTATTGGTGCTCCTACGTGCTTATAGAGCCAACTACCAAGGGTTATTAAGTCCGCTGAAATAAAAATTGATTATTTATTTTCTTATTTATTATGGATTCACGATGTTCAAGAAATTTGTTGTTCTTGACTTGAATTTAAAAAAATTTCAAGTCAAGAAATCTGAAGCTATTTTCAAGACAAGTCAAGATTCCCTATTTCAATATCAAGATTTCTTGTCAAGAAACCAAGAAATTCTTGAATTTCTTGAAATAAACAGTTTTACAAGTTGCTGTTATAGTTATAGTATATTGAAATACAGGTTGCAGTATGCCACAATAGGCTTCTGCAACGCGCGTATTATACTATTTTCTCGATTTTGTATTAGCGTTTTTAGTTGGATATTATTTTCGCAAAATATGTCAGTCGGGGGACCATTTTACTAACTAGCAGATCTTCCTGATTTTTCGAGTAGGTAGAACAAGTACAGGGTGCTGCAATTTGGAGTGTTTTAACAGGAAAAACATACTTCCAGACCACATAGAGACAAAATGACATAGATGTCATGAGATCGATGTCCAAGAAACGTCGATTGTCAAAAACCGTATCGCGATATGTTCAATGAGTTCAATGATACCATTAATACAGGGCGATTTTCGATTTTTCCCTATTCTAGCTATAAGTTATTCATTTATCTTTTTTTTAAAATTTCTGTGAAGATATTTTCCCGATTCTTTTTTGAGCACAATCCAGAGGCGTGCTCAGTTTTTTTCTATTTCGCTCCCATGTTGAGATGTTGACCAAATTCCCATTTTTTTATAATATTAGCTCATTGGATAAGTCTGCTTTTGCTGATTTCAATGATATAAAGTTCGATAGATTTAGGTATCTCTAAGAGTTTTCGAGAAAAAAAATTATATCTGTTTATCATAAGAAACAATGTGTCAGAAAGAGACCTTTCTCATTATCCTTATAGATATAAAGTCATTTTCTAACACGTTCCTTATGACAAAAACAGATATTATTTTTTTTTCTCGAAAACTGTTAGAGATAAACTTATCGTACGTTATATGATTGAAATCAGCAAAAGTAGAGCTATCTTATGAGCTATTATTACATAGGGTGTCCTTTTAAAAAAAATCAGAATTTGGTAAATATCTCGAAATCGGAGCAAAATAAAAAAAAAAACTGAGTACGTCACTAGATTGTGCTCGAAAAAGTATCTCCAAAATTTTTTTACAGAAATAAAAAAAAATCATAAATAAAAAACTTATAGCTATTTTTCAGAATAGGGAAAACTCGGAAATCGCCCTGTATCGATGGTACCATTGAAGATATCGCGATACGGTTTTTGACAATCGAAGTTTCTCGGTAATCGATCTCATGAAATTTTAGTCAATTTATCTCTATCTGGTCTGGAAGTATGTTTTTTTCTGTTAAAACACTCCAAATTGCAGCACTCAACGCGTGTCCAAAGTGTTTTCGAGAGCGACGTAGAAAAACAAAGATAGCTTATTTTCAAGCAATTTCAAGAAATTTCAAGATGTCTTGATTTCAAGTCTAGACTTTTGCTTTAAATTACTCATCGAGTCAAGACATGTTTCAATTTCTTGATCTTGAATTTCAAGTCAAGTCAAGAAATTACGTTCAAGTCAAGATTTCTCTTTTATGGTTTCCCCAATTTGATGAACCAATAAAAACGGTCACAAAAGTAGTATATGAAGGATATGAAAAAAGGGGCACCTACCTAGTTACAGAGTTTTAGTAAAAATACTTACGTTTTTTCCCGATGACTAAAGCAGTCCACGTAGTACCAACTACAGGCAAAACCGGTAAAAAAAAACCTTTATTGTTCCAAGCAAATTTGAATGTTTTTCTATGAACATAGAAAAATCTCAAATAAAATAATAGCAACGACAACCAAAAACTTGAGACTAATAATGACTGAGCATTAAACATAGTCATTTCTTCTTGATTCTTGTGACGATTGTAGTATCAGCTAAATGAATGCCGCAATTGCACTAAGAAAAAGTTTATAATACCTACTTATACCTAATAATTAGTAAAAATAAATAATTCATGTTTATTTATCAACATCATTATGGTAAGTGACAAAAATACTGTAATTAATATTCTTCTCAGAATCATATCGGTTCGAACATAAGTGGTATCGGGTCTTCAAAAAAAAACAAATACGTTTAAAAAATCATAGCAATCTCTGATTGTTTTTTTTTTTTTTTGAAGACCCTATATGTTTTCGTTCATGATTCCGATACGAGAGTCATAATTAGTTCATATAAAACGGCCTTTCTGATTAGGAATTAGATGGGAACATTTTAAATTTGGCAAGGTGTTCAATTTTGGTGGTATCTTAATACATTTCGTTTGTCTGTTCCTCATGTAAGAGGCGGCTGAAGTTCTCACTCACTAAGACGTCTTGATAACCTGGTGTTTCATGGCAAAACCCCTCTCAAATGAGTCAAATGACAGAAAGACAAAGGAGAGAGTCCTTATCAGTCTACAGCAGTTCGGTTAGCCGTGACCAAGGCAGCGGACAGACAGAGGGTACTAAGAATCCCTGGAGTAGACCAGGCTGCCAACCATCGGAACATACAACGCAACGACTTTGAAAAATGAAGAAATGTTAGAGGAACTGAATTACGAACTCGATAGAATAAATTAGGACATAGTAGGACTGGCAGAAGTTAGAAGAAAAGGAGAAGAATGTCTAAGACTTAAATCAAATCGCGTCCTATTCTACAAAGGCGATAATAATAGCAGTAATGGAGGAGTCCTGATACACAAACGAATGGTCCCATACCTACAAGAATACAACAACCAAAGGCATTCAAATTTACGCACCAACAACCAAGAAGTAGAGGAATTTTATGAAGAGATAACACAGTGTTTTCACGAGAAAAGAACAAAGTACAGACTAGACATAGGAGATTTAAATGCAAAACTAGGCCAAGGATGACACCGACTCATGTTACATTGGTAAATTAGGACATGGTACAAGAAATGAAAAAGGCAGCATTCTTTCCAAAAAAAAACCAACAAAAAATGAACATCGGAAAGCCCGGATGGAGAGACAAAAAAAAACGAAATAAACTTTATACTGACACATCAAAAACACATAATCTAAGATGTTGACGTCTTAGGCTCATTCACGACTGGCAGCGATCATAGAATGGTGAGATGTAAAATAGCAATAAATGGCAGACTAGAAAGAGCAAAGAAATTCAACCGCACTTCAAAGAAATTAAGCACACATACCAGTTAAACACGAAAAACATAATTCGCAACAAAATCAACACAAACACTGAAGAAAGACCTCATTAAACCCTTCGAAGACATAATAGTTATTTACATTACAAGTGCGTTTATGAACATGATTACAATAACGAGTGTGAAACATCAGAACGACGAGGTCGTAGACCGAGTCGTTATATTCACACGAGTTTTGTAGTCATGTTTAAACGCACGTGTGATGTACAACATTTTATCTACAAAGCGAAAAATAGGAATGTTTTTTCAATTATTTTCGTTTATTAGTAGTTGTCTACCTTCATTTTACCTTCACAGGTTTAACTTCGACATTTGTCAAATCACCAACAATAGTTATGTTATAGATTCATGATGTGATAAAATTTATAGTATTTGTAATACCCATTTAGAATAACTTTATCCTTATTTATCAATCACGAATCAGATGAAACAAAAAATTACCAACAAAAACGAACGTCGATTGCTACTACGTCAATTTCATCTACAAATAGGAAAATCCTAACCTAACTTGTGTGTCAAGAAGCGACATACGTTTTGTCACTAAAACGACAGGTACTTCTAAATAGGTATTAAAAATACTATAGATGAAACCATGTAAGTTGCTAGGGTAGATGTTTCTTGGAGGTTATGTTAAGTTTGGTAGAGAGTTGTATTGTTTTCAACACAAAGACATGTTTCTTATTTTCAATAGTGTGTACCTAATCCTTTTCTTAATAAAACCAATTATTTGAACCTACGTGTATTATTACTATCACTCTGTAGTCAGTAGCATCACATGGCGCAGTATTATGTGGGTTAATAATCATTAATCCGGTGTTTAAGCGTTTTTTTTTTATTGCGTAATTTTAATCTACATGAATTTTTAGAAAACCCGTGCTTTTTTATTTTGTTCAAAAGTTATCACTAACTTTAAATTTTTTTTATTAAAATTCCTAATATGAATTTCACTGTAAAGGAGCGCGTGACGTAATCGCCCGCAAGAGGCTTAGTACCACACAATTCCACGAGATGGCGCACTATCACTATCTTTTATAAAGTTTACAGTTTACTGTAGCAATTCGCATCTGTTCAGTTACTGCAAATCACGCCATCGTCAAGCTGGAACTTTTGGACTCTTGGGAAGTCTATGAACAAGTCGGGAAAGTGTTTGGAAGAAGTCCAGAGAGGTCAGGAAAGGACTGGATAAGGTCGAGCAGTCTGCACAAGTCTGGATAAATCTGGATAGAGTCTGAAAAAGTCTGGAAAATGTCTGGAAAAGTCTGGAAATCTCTGGAAACGTCTGGAAAGAGCCTGGAAATTTCTGGAAAAAGTTGGAAAAATTCTGCCAAACGTCCCAAAAGACCTGGGGATCATTTTCCAGAATCCGGATCAGTCTGTACAAGTCTGGATAAGGTCTGGATAAATCTGGATAAAGTCTGTAAAACTCTACATAAGTCTGGATATTGTCTGTAAAAGTCTGGAAATCTCTGGAAAAGACTTGGAAATTTCTGGAAATGGTCGTAAATATTCTGGAAAAGGTCCCAATAGACCTGGGGATCATTTTCTAGAATCCGGATCAGTCTGAACAAGTCTGGATAAATCTGGATGAAGCCTGGAAAACTCTGGACAAGTCTGGATAATGTCTGGAAAAGTCTGGAAACGTCTGGAAAAGGCCTGGAAGCTTCTTGAAAGGGTCGGAAAAATTCTGGAAAAGGTTCCAAAACACATGGGGATCATATTCTAGAATTCGGAGCAGTCTGGACAAGTCTGGATAAGGGTTGGATAAATCTGGATGAAGTCTGTAAAACTCTGGATAAGTCTGGATATTGTCTGGAAAAGTCTGGAAATCTCTGGAAACGTCTGGAAAATTCTTGAAAGGGTCGGAAAAATTCTGGAAAAGGTCCCAAAAGACCTGGGGATCATTTTCTAGAATCCGGATCAGTCTGAACAAGTCTGGATAGGTCTGGATGAAGTCTGGATAGGTCTGGATGAAGTCTGGAAAACTCTGGATAGCTCTGGATAATGTCTGGATAATGTCTGGATAATGTCTGGATAATGTCTGGAAAAGTCTGCAAATCTCTGGAAACGTCTGGAAAAGGCTTGGAATTAACACGATTTATTAGCTTCACCTGTATATGTTTGTTTGGTTGTTTGTTTGTTTGTTTGTAAGTAACTCTTCTTTGGACTAAAAGCAAGTGGCTTATTACTGTTGTATAAACAACTACACAACAAATGTTGATAAAATTAAATTATTTTAAAAGCAGTTTTTAAGTATATCCCTCTATCTAAAGTTCGTTCGTTGGCCGAACGGTCTAAGGCGCGGCGCTGACGACAACTCCCAGACTCACCAATCGTGGCTTATAATCCCTTTCACGGCCGAAAAAAAATAATTGTTTTTTTCCAGTTGGAGATTTACACCACTACTTACAATAGTAAATTCCATAAATAAAAAAATATTTATATTGAAAAATCTGGGCCATGTTCATGTTCACAAGAACAGAACAGAAGAAAATTTTTTTCAATAATTAATTGAACCAGAAAGTAAAACATAAATAGGTATATTTAGTTTGAAAAAACTAAAAAACACGCTTTTATAGTAAATTGAACTGAAAAGTGAAAAATAATTTTTAATATAAACAGAAAATATTATTGAACAAAAAAATATTAGAATTATTGTGAAAAAATCGTGGGGTGATCAATGCACGAGAAATGTGGAACAAAGCACCCCACGCTTTTTTCAAAAAACTCAACACAAAACAAAAACTGAAGACATTATAACTTAACACATTTTATTATAAGAGCAAAAAAGAACGCATCTACTTATTGTTTATTACATTTTCCAGTTTTTAGTTCGATGCATTATTATGCTGCTCATTTTTCCAATTTGAAGAAAAAACTTTAATTCTTATTTGTGTTTTGTTTATATTTGGTAGGATTATTGAGATTATGGGAGGAATGGTTGACATTGTTGACATAAAGACACAATCACACCGCAGCCACACCAAAAAAATATGGTGTGACCGGTGCGAAACTTGGAGCGCGCCCGAAGTACTTTCTGAACGGCACAGAGTGCGCGCACTCGGTGTGCCTATAGCATTTATGAACGGCTAGTGCGTCGCACCGGTGTCACACTCACATTGAGTGTGTCATTCCTGAATTCGTCCCAGAGATTTCCAGACTTTTGCAGACATTATCCAGACTTATTCAGAGCTTTCCATAGTTTTCCAGATTTCATCCAGATTTGTCCAGACTTGTACAGACTGGGGTGCGATTTTCGAAACCATTCAAGTACATTTCCTACACACGAAATTTGACTGACAGCAATGTAAATTGAATGGGGAGCAGACAAATTTCGTGTACGAAATGTACTCGAATGGTCTCGAAAATCGCACCCCTGATCCGGATTCTGGAAAATGATCCCCAGGTCTTTTGGGACCTTTTCCAGATTTTTTCCGACCCTTTCAAGAAGTTTCCAGGTCTTTTCCAGACGTTTCCAGGGATTTCCAGACTTTTCCAGACAATATCCAGACTTATCCAGAGTTTTCCAGAGTTTTGACAGACTTCATCCAGAATCATCCAGACCTTATCTAAACTTGTACGAACTGCTCCGGATTCTAGAAAATGATCCCCAGGTCTTTTGGGACCTTTCCAGAATTTTTCCGACCCTTTCAAGAAGTTTCTAGGCCTTTTCC